GCCTGCAAAAAATGTAGAGAATGTAAATCAGGCCTACATAACATACAGCCCATGGGCTGCTTAGGGCTTGCCAAAGTGGCCCCCCCATAGGTCAGAAATTGAGCAGGCCTGTTTTACATTCTCTACATTTTTTGCAGGCTGCCCAAAAACCTGTAGCAGGTACAAGTGGTCCTATGTTGTACAGGCCTGCCCTAAGGGACCTTCACATAGTCAGTTTTGCTGAGGGACCTGCATTTTCACAGGCAGAGGAAATCCTTTGGCGGGCTGCAAGCAGCCCACAGGCTGTAAGCAGCCTGTGATGTTGTACAGGCTTGAACTAGATGATCACTAAGGTCCTTCCAGCTCTATGAAAGTAATAAAATGCTAAAACACACACACACACACACACACACACACACACGACAGATCCTCTCAGATTTTATGTTGGGGAGGTGGGTGTGGGGGCCTGGGTTTGGTGTTAGAGGATTTCGGTTTGACTCCTTCAACACTTACTTCTTGAAAGCTGGCAAAAAAGGAAAATGACAAATGCTGGGGGGTCTGTGGAAAAATAGGTCCATTGTTAGTGGAGCTGTGAACTGCTCCAGTAATTCAGGAGAGCAATTAGGAATTATGGCCCAAAGCCTATGAAACTGTGTAAAAATACATTTGGCCATTATTGACCATTAATATTTGACCATGATGATGGAGTGCTTGGGTGGTTGTGCTGGGACCCCAATTCCATGACCATGTTTCTCCCTAGCCTCAGAAACACTATCCCTGGCAGTTTCTCCCCAGCCCAAGGACACTGTGCCTAGCAATTACTCATGAGTGGGCCCCAGCAAGACCCTTATCTCTCTCCCTGGTGCAGTTACAAACAGCACTTGAAGGAATTACTAGTTTGAACTGGCTTTGCACTGGGTCATAAAGATATTCTTACGCACTGGACTATCTGTAGGTACCGCCCTACGTCATTATCTACATCCTGGACTCCTCATTATCTGTATCCTAGACCGAAGACATACATATCCTCCCTACATCTATCTTGTCAAACAAGACATTGACTGGTGGCCAACTGGACAACTCTCAGTTACCCCTGACCACTAGTTAACAGGCCTAAAATCACACCTCCGTGTGGCCCCCCCTTGTGGGCTTTTCCTAATGAACTCTGGGTAAAATGCCTGCACAGTAGTTACAAAAATTACATGTTCCTTTAAGAACTGACCACTCCTTAACCACTCCCTAATCCCACCCTGAATCACTTAGTTAGCATATTTGGCACATGTTTTATTATATTTTATCCCTATATAAACTTTTAACTGTACTCCTCTAAGGTCGCAGATTTCATAAGAATGCTTGCCCTCTGAAAAGCATAGCAATAAACTTTTTGCCAACTTGACTTAAAAAATGCTTGAGTCTGTGAATTCATTCCAGATGACCCCATCCTGTACTCCAGTCTTTGAGGGGTTTCAACCTCTCATATGGCAACAATGATACCATTATTAGATGGCCTCTGAAGGCTCTGCCAGCTCTCTACCCCAAAGAGGTGAAAGTAAGAGGAAAAGGAGCCATATGTACAACAATATTTATAGCAGCTCTTTTTGTGGTGGCAAAGAATTGGAAACTGAGGGGATGCCCATCCATTGGGGAATGGCTGAACAAGTTGGAGTATATGATTGTGAGGGAATAGTATTGTGCTGTAAGAAATGATGAAGGAAATGGTTTCAGAGAAACAAGAGAAGACTTTTATGAATTAATACAAAATGAAGTGAGCAGAACCAAGAGACCATTTTATATACTAACCACAATAAGAGAGAGTCAACTTTAAATGATTTAGGAAGTTTTATCAATTCCAGAGGACTCATGATGAAACATCTCCTGATATAGAGGGTGTTGACAGAATTTTACTGAGCCAGTTTCTAACCTTAGAATGATGACACAGCAGGCCAGAGACAAAGTATCAGTAATCAAGTAGCAGTTTAATTAATTAGTTTCATTATGAGGAACAGATTTGCAAATTGGGAATTCTCCTGATCAGAATTCCAGCTTGCTGTAGTGAAGGCAGAGATTATATATATAAATCACAAGTGGGAAGGGACGGCAGGAAGTGGATTACAAACAGTCATTTCCCAAGGCCTGAGTGGTTCCCATGACAAGCCCACAAGTCCACGATACAGGTGTTCTGGAGTCCTGTGGGGACAACTTGATGGGGCACAGGACCAGAGTTCTGTGACAGGAACAGGTTTTACAATCTTTGATTCGGTTCACCGAAGGTACACAGGCACCGGAATGTAGTGATTGTGAGAGTGTTGTCATGGATTTAATTGATCATTTCAAGGTGCACTGTGAGCTTTTGCCTTTCAAGCCAGGAGAGGCCATTCTGAGAAATCTAAATTATTAGTATAGTCATTACCCATATCATATTGATTATCATGAAAATCATAATTCCCTTCACAAGCAGATGGACTCTGAGGGCAGTTTGAGAGATTTTTATTTAAATAGCCTATGCTAGAATTTCTTTTGTTGAACCATACATGTTTGTAACAGGGGTTTTTGGTTTTCTTCCCTTTTTGAGTGGGGGTGGTGGAGGTGAGAGGGAGAGGTGGATCTTCATGAAAATAAAATTTAAAAGATTTAGAGAAAAAAAAAAACAATACTGCCTGGGTGACCTTTGGTACATCTCTGGGCCTGTTTTTCCCATCTGTAAAATGAGGGGTGTTGACTAGATGGCCTCTGAGGTCCCTGGATTGTAACATAGAATCTTAAAATGTTTTCCTGGGCTGTTAAATTAATTATTGGAACTCTAGAGGCTTTCTTCCAGGGGGGAAACTGACTATGCCAGGTTAACATTGATTCAAATTGCTGAAGCCTGAGATTCTCAGGAGGATGGTTTTTATCTGATAAGCTTCTAAAAGGCATAGAGACTTTTCTGCTCTCTTAAAGAAGTAGGAAAGAAAAAGGTGTGGGGGGAGAGCATTATTCAGAGCGGGAATTGTCACCACATGTCTTTTTTAGGGGAATATATGAATTTGTGGAGAATATTTCCTTTTAAAGAGCCAAGAATATTGGATTTAAAACAAAAACGTTTTTAGGGGCAGCTAGGTGGCGCAGAGGATAGAGCACCAGCCCTGAAGTCAGGAGGACCTGAGTTCAAATCCAGCCTCAGACCAAACACTTGTCACGTACTAGCTGTGTGACCCTGGGCGAGTCACTTAACCCCAATTGCCTCAAAACAAAAAAAAAAGTTTTTAAAGGTTTATCATTAGCGATTACAAATTCAGATCTGGTTTGATGTAAGTTCTGTAAAAAAAAATAATAATGGTTGTTATGGGATAAAAAAAGTATATGATTGTAAAGTGCTTAATACAATGGCATATGTTAGACATGGAATTATTAGTATTTCTCTAATTTAATGTAATTGTTAAAAGTGCCAAGAGTAATAAGATCAATAATTTCTATATATGATAACCCAGAAATGCAATTGATGTTATCTGAAGTTTATTGTTTGTGTTTTTAAAATTGTATTTTATTTCTAAAACTCTCTTAGATTGCAAAATTTGAGAGACCACTGTGAGGTAGAAATGGTGTTAAAGCAACTCTTAATCTGGAATACATCTTTTAAAAGGATGTGATAAAAATAAGGTAATTTGAAAACTGTTAAATATCTAGTGAGGTATATTTGGTTATAAGCAAGTAACAATAATATTGATATTTGCTATGATAGCAGATTTTTCATTTGAAATTTTGACTATTATAAAGATATATGGTGGTTTAAATTTATAGTTTCAACATATTAATTATGAGATGAATGATTCCCTGTGCAAAGTGATTTGGAAGTGCATTCATCTAAATTGATAATGGGTTGTTTCAAAGTTTATTACTATTATGGAAATAATACCTGTTTGTAATGTGTGCCCTATGGTACAAACATATTTTATTGTGAATAACTTACTGATATGCACTGTTTTAGAATTAATTAGGTATTCTCTCATATATCAGGGCCTCAATTAGGAAAAACATGTGTGAATTTATGGATAATAATCTTTTCCTTTAAAGTACTAAGAGTATTGGGCCTTAAGAATCAAAACATACTGCTGAGGTTTAGAGGTTAGGGGTACTGGGACCCAAAATCATGACACATGGATCCTGCCCTAAGGAGTTTCACCTGGGCCTTCTTTCAGCCAAGGACAGGGTTTGTTCCACGTGGGCCAGCCTCTTGAGGAGTCTGAACATTTGTGATGCACAGAAGGATGAGCAGGCATGGGGAAGTCTCAGCCCTTAAATGGTGGCCAGAATGGATCTTGTATGCAGAAGGATTATAGGAGGAATCTAGGAGTGGCCAGGTGTCTTGATGGGAGTGGCCAGTATTATGAATCCAGATTTGATTTACTCAATCCAACTAAATTAAGGTCACCTGATAATAATTAATTGGTTCTGTTTTAAGTTTTAAATGATAATTGCTTATACTATGGTTATATGGTGTAATCTGGTAAGCAATTGTATCAGCTATGTTGCTAGAAAAGCAATTTCTCTTGTAATCTAGACTGTTGTTAAATTAGGAGTTGTACTGTTAGAGAAGGAGAAAAAGGAATGGTTTGGTGAGAGATACAATGAAAATGTTTGTTCCCATAAATCTGAAGCACACAGCTAGAAAAGTAACTAAGTAAAATAGGATACAGCAGGTCTTATCTTGTTTTGCTGATAGAAGTTAAGTAGAACAAAGGTTAAGCTTTGCTTAGAGTGCACATGCTTAATAGCTTATAAATATTAGCTTCTCCACCTCCAGGAGGGGCTAAGATGCCATTTTCTGAACATGGGATGTATGAAGAAGGATGAGAAACATGTCAAGGAGTAGGTGTGTAATAGGCGTATCGGAAAGTTGTACACTCTGGAGTACTCAGCCAATGAGGAAACAGAGGAGCGACTTTTCGGCCGGGATTAGAGATAAATAGTGAACTCCTGCTTTGCTACAGTGTGTCCCAGTCCATAGGACACCTGTGGTTGCAACTGCATAATAAACTGGGCTTTTAACTTCATCCCTCCTGAGTCCGAATGAGTTATTTCTCACAGTTGGGAAGCTGTTAGGTCATTCTATCTGACCATGTGTTGTAACAGAACTTCCAAATTTTGTCTAAATTTAAAGGGGAGTTTTAGCTAAAATTACTTGGTTCTCGCTTAGGAAATTTAAGATTGGTAACTAAGCTATTTGGAGTTATTGTTTAAATCAAGTACTTGTAAAAGTATTTTTGTGAAAGGAAACTTGGTAATTATGCAAAGAAAAGACTTTGTAAAATATTCTCATAATTCTTATCAACCCTGTGCAGGAGTTTTGTCTTGTGGAATTCTTACTGAGTAAATGGCTCATTACAAACAATTTAGGTAACTAGGAATTTTGTGGTAATTAGGAAATTGTAAGCTGTTTTTAAGAAAGGGAAATACTTTTATGAAGAAATGTTTTGGTGAAATCTTTGTGATTTTTTTAGAGGGACTACTAAATTTCTATTTGCAAGCTAGTTTTGTTGCAAGTAATAATTTGATATTGATGACAATTATGTCCAAACTTACTGTGAATTCTCAGTTTGTTTCCTAGGCTTGTTGTGTCCCTGGACTGATCTTAATGGGTGCTTTCTGAGAAATAGTCAAAATCAGCAACTCAGTGAGAGTAGTATCAGACATCTAAGGCTAGTGATTAAGACTAAAGCAACTTTTGTAATGAGTTGTAAGTGGGGGAGATCTTGCAATTCTGATCTGAATTCATTCCAGGGCCTAGAAAAGATTAGAATTAGTTTTTGAACTTCTATAAACAAGCTTGAGAGACAGAGAGGCAAATCTATTAGAGTAGCAACTTAGGATCTTAATGGAAATTTGATTTTACTCAGGATGCTATTAGGAACTAGAATATGTGTAGGAAGGCATGCAAACTACTTAGGGCTCACTTTGGAGATGTTCCCTAATTAATGTGAGATTATAGTCACACCTGAAACCCTGATGAGGGGAATTTGCTATCCAAGACCTGGGGGACTGTTAATGAATTCAAGGTCTAACTCCAGGTTTGGTTAGCAAGGAACTGATTAAGCTACTGACCCGTGATGCCAGCAACCCTGTGAGGGGTTTGTGAGCTGCATCTATGAACTGCAGAGGATGTTCTCATGAGAAGGTTGGGAGAATGACTTTTCTGCGTGGCTGAGGTAGGAGTCTCCTGACTCAATTTCCCCACTAGGACACCCGGAAAACTTTAAGCCTGGCTCAATGCAGTTGGCCATTATAAAACTTCTGCCTGGAATTGACATGAAGCTAAGGAAGCATTGTTCCCTTACTTTAGTTATTTCCCTATTCTTTCATGGCAAATTTCCATAATCATAAGTTTTATAAACATAATATCAAATCTATTAAATAACAGATTGATGCGGGAACATCTGAGGTTATTATAGTAAGATGCAAGTATAAGATTGAGTTCTTTGGCCTAGAATTTTCGAATTAAGTATTCAGTCTTGACATCTCTTACTAGTATATTCCTATATAAGTTCAGATCCTTTAATTTATCATAATGGTATAGGGATAATTAGGCCAGGAGCTTGTGGAACCAGGATATTATTCTGTTACAATCAATTATTGTTAAAAGAAGAATGGCTCATGGCCTATCTTGTAAATGCCTTGAAAAAAGCATCCATTTTAATTAAGGATTATTTATTTGTGCATGACTAGAAATTGGGATTGTTTTAGTATTTGATATGTACTGGTTTGAAATTAACTACTGAGTGTGTTAGTAATTCCTTAGTGGGCTCTCATCCTCCTGATGGGGAAAATGAATAAGAATGAATAATGAATCAATGTAAGGTATAAAAGCAGAAGTAATGCAGAGGGTAAGGCTAGGCTCTAATTTTTCTGTTACTTCTCTAATTTCAGTTTCTTAAACGTGACAATTGGCCAGGCTTCCAATTTTTGATCTTATAATAATGGAGACATAAGGGTTGAGTTAACTTTTGTTATTTGCCCTGGTTATTGGCAAGGTAATTTAAAAATTGTGTTAAGATCAATCTTGTAGGAGAGTGGACACCAGAAAGAGGATCTCTACAAGAAGACAGCCTGCTGGACACTGCGTGAACAGTACTTAGACCAGAAAACTTCATCAGAAGATGTCCAGAATGCCAGACAGCTGTATGAGAAGAGACTTTTGAAGCCTTAAATGGACAATTTGTCATTACTTTTGGGTCCGTGTATCTGTACTTACTAAGGGGACTGCCCCCTTTTGATTTGTCAATGTATCAATCAATTTTTCTGTTCCTTCTGCCATATTGTTATAAGTCCCCAAAATCCCTTGATGAAATGTTGCCCAGCAGCACAGCCCCAGATGGAACCATTACTAAGGCATTACAAGGTATAACCACTTTAGCTGAGGAGTTGGCAGAGAACTCTGGGATAGATAATTAATTAAAGGGATGGTTAGAATCATGGTTTGGCAAATGGAAGGGAATGGCAGTTAATAGCTGGGATATTAATAGCTGTAGGCTGTTGCATAATACCTTGTGAAGAGACTGAGGTGAACCCTGATTATGATCAAAACTAGAATACATAATGAATTAAGATTCAGATGCAACAGAGTAAAAGGAAATAAAAAGGTGGGATTGTGGGATATATAGATGTTGCTTCTGCATATCACTCAATCAGAGGTTGGAGTCAGAGAATTAATTTTTTTTTATTATTATTTCCACAAAAAGACAAGTGGAAACCTTAAGGAATGCAGTCTGGGGGCTGAACAAAGGGGTTTATATTAGAATAAGAAAACACTCTTGGTGGTGAATAGACTAACTGTGGAAAACCAGTTCTGAGGTTAACATAAAAAGGGGTGTTCCCAAGTGAGGGTCAGGGTCTCCAAATTGTGGGGAGTGGGAGATGTAATTAGGGGAGGAGACTCACGTGCAGAAATTAGGCACTTTGGATAGGTTGTAACCTCTATAGTACCCATCGAATAGGGAAACAGGGGAAGGAAATTTGAATGGGGAATAGGGAATAAAAAGGTGTGCATTTGTGGCTATACTCCAGGCCTTCCCAAGTCGTTAATAAAGCTTCTTCCTGATTCAACAGTGGCTTCTTGGAATTTGTGATATTGATATAGATAACAGAAAGAGCTGCTATAAATATTTTTTGTACATATCAGTCCTTTTCCTCTTCCTTTTTTTTTTTTTTTATCTCTTTGGGATACAAACCTGGTAGTGGTATTACTGAGTCAAAGGGTATACACAGTTTTATAGCCCTTTGGGCATAGTTCCAAATTGCTCTCCAGAATAATTTGATCAATTCACAATTCTACCAACAGTGAATTAGTGTCCCAATTTTCCCACATCACCTCCAACATTTATCATTTTCCATTTGTCATATTAGCCAATTTGATAGATGTGAGGTAATTCCTCAGAGTTGTTTTAATTTGCAATTCTCTAATCAAGTAATTCAGAGAATTTTTTATATGACTAGAGACATCTTTGATTTCTTTATCTGAAAACTGCTTGTTCATATCTTTTGACCATTTATCAACTGGGAAACGACTTGTATTCTTATAAATCTGACTCCGTTCTCTACATATTTGAGAAATGAGGCCTTTATCAGAGACGCTATAAAAATTGTTTACCAACCTTCTGCTTTCCTTCTGATAATCATTTCAGATCAATTGAGCCCCAATAAGGGCCAAAAACCTGAACTGATCTTTTCTTCCTGAGTGAACTGAGAATGCCCCTTCCTGTGTCAAGAGCTGAAGCTGACCAAGAGCATTCTTCTGTTTATGACCACTAAGGTGCCTTTGACCCAGGCACTACCTTGAATAATGGGAATTTTTTTCATCTTGGTGGTAAAGGAAACACAAACATCTTGGATCTGACATTTGCCTATCTTGTTCAATTTCTTTCTCCTACTCTGATTAAACATATGGAGACCATAAACTGAGTAACACAGACATCCTGAGTCAGGGTTTAAATGTCCTCCTAAAATTACTTGATTCAGTCAGAGTTAAAGCTCTGGTTCCATGTAAGATATCGCTACTTTAAAGGGAATAAAACAATATGGATTTACTTATCACCTAGCTTGTTGTCTCTTTAACCAAACTTTCAGGTCAACAGTAATGGTGCCATGACTCGGATGGAACTGAAGTAATGGGAGAAAACACCTCACCCCGGCAATGCTAGTGGCTCAGGCGCCTCAGGATCCATTTTTTTTTCCTGGAGTCCTAACCTTGATGGGTTCAGGTAAGTTTCCTCTATTCCCAGCTTCCATGGACTGCCCACTAGTTTGGTTGAAGTCCGAAAGAAAATTCCCTTTCAGCTAGCTCTGGGGTTGGGGCAAGGTTCAGAGACTCTGGCTACTGTATCTGTTAGATCCCCTCTGGTAAGGATCGATCTAGAGAAACTGGCTATGGGTCAGTCAAAAACTAAAACTAGAAATCTGGATAACAAGACCGCCACCTCTTATATGTCAAGCCATTGCCAATCTGCTGATCACAAATACTGCCAGCGCTGATGTCAGTTAACTAAAGATAACCTCAAATTATGTTGGCCACAATGGGGTTCTTTTGACTGGTCAAAGTTACTTTATCTCAAAACCAAATTAAGTTTAAAGGCCAACAAAACATCTAGCCAGGAGTGGGAATGTTTTCATCCTTGGGTCACTGAGATGGCTGAGGGAGAAGGAAAGGCAGAAGCCTCTTCCCTTAAGGCTCACAAAGCCCCTTCAGCACTCTTTCCCAGGCTCCGGATAATCCCCTTCCCCCTCCCCTTTTCCCTTAAAGGTTATGGTTCTGACGGGGACTCAGATCCCCCAAATTGAACTTCAATGGGACTTGCCCCTTTAAATCTGCAACCTGAGGGGCACTCTGAGGAAGGCTCACAGGATCCAGTTACACTATCAGGTCTTGGATCTTTGCAAATTCCCCAACCCCCCTTCCTCAGAATAATAATAATAATGATAATAGCCAATTCCTGTTGGGGGTTTTCTAACAAGCCTCTAATTCCCCCTCTCTCTGTCATTAGGTGTGCACTATGTCACTATATTTATATTGTATTTGTCCTGTCAGTTTGTCTGTCAGTGTGTGTCTCTGTATCTGTACCTTATGAGATTATAAATGCAGCCAGAGACTTCTAAGGGCTGCAGTTAGGAAAACAACAAACTGTAAAACTCCTTTCTTTGTGGGTCCAGGCCTGGCCAGCCTAGACCTACAGTGAAAAGTTAGATACAGCTAAAGACATCTTAGCAGATTCTGGAGGTTTTGAGATTAATCATTAAGAAGTTGGGAAATTGATCATTTTGGGACTGTTGGAGAGAACTTCTGAGACTGGGGGGTAATTCCCGGAGCTCACCCTTTGCTAAAACACCTCCTTCCAATCCTCTGCATTCCTCACTCCCTCCCCAGAGATAAGCATCTCAATATGGGAATTGTAAAAGAAAAAAAAGTGCTGAAGAATATTGGGGTGTGATAGACCCTCCGTTAGGGACCCAGGGGCACCACGCCCCGGGGCCTCTGGCTCAGCTTCCCCTAACGGCTGTTACAACACCCTGGGTGAAATCCTCAAGGGGGGGGGTTGCAACATCCTGTTCTGTAAATAACCTGCTCCCTTCCCGGCACCCCACCGGACCCTGTTCCCTTCCCGGCACCCCACCGGACCCTGTTCCCTTCCCGGCACCCCACCGGACCCTGTTTTGTAACCGGACAGTATAAATATCTCAGATGAAACCCTCGGTGGGACGGCCCCTGGGATGCACGCCTGGGGTCCGTCGCCGGCCGGCTCAAA